AATGAAGTAAGAGATTACAGTTGTCTCTGGGTTAGCTAACTAGTTTCACCTGTGTCTGTGGTGTTGATGGAGATCTTGAAAATATCCTGATCCATTTAAACATGACTTAAATGGCCCACAAAAAAAACATGTCGATAAAAAAAAAGAAGATGAATGAGGAAAGAAATCTCTGATATGCAGCTGCCTTAAAAGGCTTGGAAACTTCAAATGAAATGAATTTAAATGTAGAACACTGAGAGCAGTCACCAAAGGTTTTTATGCTGCAGGATGTCAGATGTTTCAGCCTTTAACACAAATGACGATATATAGCACATGTGATTCACTGAGAAAAGAATTTAAATAGATTGTATATATTGTCTTGAACAAATGCTCACTTTGCTTATTAATCACTTGACTCTTATTTTCCGAGTTAAGAGGCGGCTTAAGGTTGATTAGTTGGATTGCACATAGTTCACTGGTTTCAGATTGAAATGGAAAAAACATGACTCATTCTGTAGCGTAACATTTGGTAATTTAATGACATGGCAATTTTCAGTCCTTCATTTTCATTCAGAAAACCTTTAATGTCATTTGAAGTCATTCATTTTGTATATAGGAAGCCTGTTTAGAAAAAAACTGAAGATGAAATGAACTTTCTGGTACGTCAGTAGTTCTTGAACTTAAATGCCAAACATTTCCTGAAATTTGAACTCTTGCTCACAAATGAGGAAAAAGTTATATTTTGGCTGCTTTTTCGCAAATCCCTTATGAGGTGAGTTATCTGATTAACAGCATATGTGCTCAAATGGAGAGGTGCAAACTGTTTCCAACATCAACAATCATCCAACATTCAAACTGTTACACACCAAGACAAGCTACAATATCCCTAAAATAACTATAAACTATAGGTTCAAATCAAATATAAATGAGTTTGCCATATGAGATTCTAGGAACTGTTTTTTTTTAACTTTTATACGTTTTGAACCGTCACCTAACCTGTGCGTGTCATGTTTGCAGAGAGATGATACTCTCGTGTTGTTCTCGGCGATGCTGTACGAATGTGTGACGCAGGAATGTCCGGAGATGCTGCCCACCTATATTGCTATTGAGCAGGTAACACACACACACACACACACACACACACACACACACACACACACACACACACACGCAAATATGTAAACTTTACTTTAAACAATCTTGCCATTTTTAGTACATAACTTCACCAAGCAACAATAATTTGACGAACAATTGGTAGTTAAAGGGGGAGTTCACGATTTTTAGGTTGTCGGTCTTCAAAAATTGATTTACAAACCGCAGTGGAATGAACTGAAATCATTTGAAAATCATCTATGCTTTAAAGAATGATAGAACAAAATGTAAAACGCTTGCAATTTAGGGATTAAAGATTTTGTGAAGTGTCAAGCATGACAAGCTGTTTGCTGGTTGCTATTGTGTTTCATTGTTGCCTATCTCTACACCAGAACTTATACAAAACTTTCACCAAGAGAAAAATGCAGCTGTAACGTTACTAAAGCTGGAGTTATGCTTCTGAGGAAATGTTTGTAGATGTCTTTTTTTGCCAACCTACACAACTGAAACACAATTCTGATCAGGTTGAGATACATGTGATGAGTCATACAGTCCACTTTAGAGAAGCCTACATTTGTACTATTTTTAATCATGGGAAGGATCTTAACATCAACCCAAACAATTATTTTGCAGTAAAGTTTTCTTTTTACAAACCCATCCAATTCAAAAACTAGACATGAAAACATATGATTATGATTTCTACCTCAGGTATCTCCACTTTTCGGGGCCTCAGTTCCTCTAATTACGGATGTTGACAACCTTTGGGCTCGCTCATGTGAGATATCTTGTGATAAAAATCTATTCTGCGTTCGCCTCATGGCTCAGTGGGTAAGACTAGCTGTCCATGAGGTGGGGCTGAATCCGGGGCCTGCAGTCCTTTAACACATATCATCCCCTCTATCTCAACCTCATGACTCACTTTAAATGCTAAACTGTCCAAAACCATTTCCCTTCTTCCCATGTGCCGGTACGTTACCCTGTGCTCGCTGCTGTCTCCCAGGCGGTGGGGGCTCTGCGTCGGAGGGATCTGCTCCAGACCTTCCCCCTGTGGCAGATGCGTCTGGTGGTGGAGCTGTGGGACAGCCGGGTGCAGCGGGGGCCCAACAACCGCCACGACGCGCTGCTCACCTCCGAGTTCCTGCCCGTCATGAAGAACATGGTGGATGTGGCACTGGACAGCTGGCTCAAAGGTGAGGAGGAGGGTGTGTGTGTGTGTGTGTGTGTGTGTGTGTGTGTGTGTGTGTGTGTGTGTGGGTGGGTGTGCCTGGACAGCATACAGCAATCGCTATGTGCGTCCACACACTGCCTTATGTTTAAAGACTTCAGGGTGACACATGACCACTTTCAGTAAGTGTTTGGAAAGTCAAGTTTAAAGTGGAGCGAAACCACTCTTAAGTGGAACTTAAAGTGGTTTCATGCAATTTGTATTTTTTGAATATCAAACACCTATACACTGAGAAGGTGGCAGTAAAAGGCTTGCTGCTGTACGGAGAACGGTATCTGTGTGCTTCATTTAAAATGTTCTTCTCTTTTCTTAGGATTAATAAACCATTGCATTACACTGGATCATGTGAAAATAAGCCTTAACTTCTGAAAAGCTGATGTTTGGAGATAGATCATGTATTTTAAGACTTTAGTTCTGGTGTGTAGCTTGTACTGTTGAACTTAGTATTTCTCAAATCTTAACAGAGTTTAAAATCAACATATAATAATTGGAAATGCCTTTATTTTTATAAAGTTTAACCACATGAGTCTCCTGACTCGTTGCTAAAATATCTCCACCCCGTAAATTTGAGAGGAAGGATATAACTTTACAGCCCAAATGAATTCGATCAGCTTCACCTTTCATCTTCAAAGCCAAAGAAAAAAGCTGTGTGCAGTGGCTCCGAGAGCAAGGGAGGCGACTCCCCCTCCCACCTTATGACTCAACATTATTAAGTTAAAGCCAGGAGGGATCCACAGAAAAGGAGGGAGAGGCGTGCAGCCAGAAGGGGAACCTGCATGGGAGTAATGCAGCACTGAACGAAACTCTGAAGATACACTGTGGTCCCCCCAAAACCTCATGACTAATATATGAGCTTTTTTCTTAGTTCCTTCATCAGCATCTAAAAGAAACACTCCCTTTGATGCTCAGCCTCTACTGTTTGTTTTGGATCCCCCTCTTTTCTGTAATCCTGCTGACGCAACCATCTGCCTTTGGCCTGTGCACAGCTATAGACACAGGCATTTTTATTTTATGAAAATACTGAAAAGAACACTATTCTTCCTCTTGCTCTGTATAGTTTAACTAAGCTTCATGGCATACACTCATAAGCCAAAGCAAAGTAAGGAGACAGCTAGGCAATTGGTGATTACGGCACAACATTTACTATAATATACATTTTTTCAACAACTTTATTTTGTCCACCACTCTGGGTAACTAAATAGCTGCAAACGAAGGATATTTCAATTATCCCATCGAGAGATCATATTATTATTTTTGTTTCAATGACACCTCTAGGGCTCCAAAAAGAAACATGTTAAACATTACACCTCCTAACAATCAGCCGGTGCTTCAAGGATGTTAGCTTGATGTTTTCGGAAATGTTGGACCTCCACTACATCTGAAGTTGTGTGAGTTTGAACTTGTTTGGCTGCACCGCGTGACTTTGACTTTGTAAAAGTTGACCCTAGCAGGTCAGTGGAGTTTAAGAGGTCAACAAGAACATATTTAGTCTCACTATATTTTAGGAGTCAGTAACTAGAGGCAATAATTCTTCACCTACTTTTCATGCATACCTCTGAAAGCATTTTAAACCCATGTGTGACATTTTTATTTTGCCACCCAGGTTAAGGGCCTTGTTTTATTGACACATAACCCTTTCAGTTATGAGAAGCACTTTTTAAATCCTCCAGCAGATCCCCACTGCACCTGGTCGCTCCGAGGCTGGGCCATATGTTGTTTGTCTGTGGACCACCTGTGTTACATCTCATTTTGTGACTTAAATAAAACATCCCAATTTCATCCGATCAACCACTGGCCGCAGGAGATTTGTTACAACAAAGATTTTTGCAGCTCCGGCTGTGTTTCCCTCCTGAGTGTTATGCACGCTGCTCCCCTGAAGGCGTTCTGAATCTAACCATCTGCTCGAGCTCTCTATAGCTGAGATATCTCTTTGACAGACTCTCAATTCCACAATATAATCTCAGGTCCAACATATCTGTCCGCCTCCAGGATTCCCACCATTGGTGCTTTCACAAAGTGAGATTTATATCCTGTGTAGATCATATGTGTGTTGGCAAAACGTATGGAGATGTCATCTCTGTTTTTTGCAGATACATGTGAAGAGGACATTATTGGAGGAAGACAAAGAGTATTCAGTCTCTTAGTAAAGACATAAGACGTGTGTCAAACTTATGACTGCTATTACCTTAAAGGTCCCCTATTATACTCTTTTTCAACGAATTCAAAGGTCTGAGATATATACAAAACATTTATCTGAAGTGTTTGGCTCATGCTAAAGTGCTGATTCTGTGTCTCTAGCTTTAAATGCAAATGAACTGCCACTCCCCACTCCCCTCTGTAAAGTGTTTGGTTTAAAAGTACATGCAATGGTGCTCTGGGAGGAGATTCAGGTGATAAGGTGGGCGGGGGTTACCTTTGTTGGTTATTTGCTAATGGTTGCACAACCCAAAAAAACGTTGTGACATCACAAAGTTGCCAAAATCTAATCAGCTCATTTTCAGACAGCTTTTTAATACAAATGGATCAGGACAAAAAGAGAGATAATCTTTTTTCCTGAAAGGGGGCACATATTTATGTATAAAAGACATGAAAACATGGATTTTGCATAATAGGTGATCTTTAAATAGTGAAATCTCTAACGTACAGTAAGATTTGAAGATATAGTGTAGTGCATTTTCACACAGAAAATGAATACAACATTTTGAATGTTAAGCTATCCATCTTAAAGCTTCTAAACTTGGATGGTATCATTTTATAGGTGCTGAAAAGTTATATATATAGGTGTTCCTACTCTGTGTAAATATAAGCTAAACGTTTTATAGATGTAATTACTATTTATGAATATACGCTCAAGTTTCCGCTCTAGCCTCAAAATAACAAGAGACTGGCTGTCATAACACACTTTCTGGCTGTGCCATCAGGCAGGCTGAAGTATGCATCATGCTGACTGAAATAAGCATGAGTGACTGCTGTTGCTGCTGGAACCGCATATACTTAGACAGTGTTCAGAGAATATCCAACTACAACAAAAACACAAGTGCTGAAGCCAACTGCAATGCTGTCTGACACATGAAAGCTAGGAATCAACCATACAAATTCAGTTTCTCTGTCTTATTTCCCATTTTGTATTCAGGATTATGGGAAACGAGGAACGAGATAAAGATTCTTCCCTGAGGAGGTGGGAGAGAGAAGTGAAAGATGCACAGCCAGCAGAAGCCATGGCAGTGATTCATGAAACAGCTCTAAAGTTCAAAGCAGTATTTATTACTCGATTTCTTTTAGGCGGATGATGGAGTCTGTAACCGCAAACATAAACCACTTTAAATATTTAAGAGGCAGATACATTTTAGTGTATTTGCATGAGTTTTCTTAATCTCTAACATGGTGGGATGATCTGTCGATTTAAGAGCCTCTCACACTATGAACCACATATCAGTCCATTATCAAGCAGCACAAAGCTTATTGTGACTCACTGGCGGCTGAGCTATTTGTGGTCTTTGACCCTGGATAAATAATTGGAGCAGTGAAGCTGGTGCAGCATCTCGCTGAATGCTGGGAGTGCGTAGAATGACTCAGCGTTCTCGGCCAGAGTTGGCAGAGTGAACATCCATCACGCCATTACTACGGTCTGATGGCAGCCTATAGGAATGCGACGCCTGCTCCGACTATTGTCTCGCCGTGCTGGCAGAGCAAACACTGCTGACTGCTGAGGAAATATCCCTGACCCTGTCAGGCCCGGGGTCAAACCCATCTGATGTTGGCTGGAGAGGAAGGGCTAGGGTTAAAGTTATTAATGGAATTAGCCAGAATTTAAACCTTGATTATGGTTTTTACTCCAGCCTTTTTACCAGCGGCATGTTAGTACAACATGATGGTGTCTGCTGCATCACCACCAAACCTAGTAAAGGAAAGATCCACCTTAAAAGCCACATCATAATGAGATGTTTTAACTAATGGCACGAGCAAAAGTTAAATCCATTAACAAAGAGAGAGAGGAACCAGTCTCTCCACTGAGTGTAACTTTAACTCAAAATGATGAGGGGAAGGGGGACATGCTTTTGCAATTACCATCACAGCAACTGTCTGTCGCTATGGTGACTGCTTCCTCTCTATCCAGCTATGCAGAGGATGGTCAAAATCACAGGGACACAGTACAAATAAATGCAACCCAATCATGACAAAAACAAGTGTCTTAGTTCAAATGGACACACTCATGACTCTTATCGTCTCTTCACATGACATTGTACAACATTTAGATACCTATACCATACAACAATCATTATTACATTTATTTTAAAGAAAACGATAACAAAGACAACAATTAACTACTTATATTATATAATTGAATTCATCATTTTTTGTCAATCATAGTGTGATCACTACTTAAATATTTTACAAAAATGTCTTCACATTGTTATATCTGTCTCTACTCCGCACTTTTTGATACCATCCCTTTCTGTTTGCTGTCTCCACAGGCTCCAGAGGTCAGGGTCACCTACAGCAGCACCAGTTTCTTGTTTAAAGAACCATCATCACGGAGGCTGAGATGGGAACACAGGGTCCTGCACGTCAGCATGACATCCATGTAAGAATTTGCAAATGCATATGTCAATACTAATCCCCAAAGGCTGTATTGGCATGAATAGGGGAGACCTTACACTGCCAAAGCATTTCAGCAGATCAATATGGTGATGCATAGTAATGAACCGACTGGCCCTTACGCAACACATTAATTGATGACTGACACAGCAGCAGCTCTAACCAGCAGCACCTGTTATTATCCAATGATGTTGCAGATATGAGTGAATAAGCTGGTTATCGTAAGCATGAAAAATCAAGTGTATTTTCTTATTTGATGATCACCTTAAACACACAGACACATATTCCTCTCACCGCAGAGAGGAGGTGGTTGTGAGGTGTTAACGCACGTGCTTTCCTCTGTCTGCAGGTGCTGTTGCCATGGCAACAATGGATGAAATTCTCGCAGTGAATCATGAGTTCACTGTAGGTTCACTCCCCGCCCTGAGATCAGGTCCTGACCTCGTCAGGGGGCCCTTGAGAATAGTTTGTAATAGAAGACAATGAAATGAGATTCTGCCATGCAACATGCAGGTTTTTTATTTTGTACCAACTTTAACATCCACTGCTCTCTCCATGACTCCCGTATCCTCGGGCCCTACAATTAAAATTAGAGGGCAGCTGTCTCTGGATTATCTTATCCTGAGACAGATTCCTAGAATACCTTGGACAGAATTATCCTGAGGGGGATGCGGAGAGGAGGAATGGAGGTGGTAGCCATGTTGGGGGGAGTGGGGGGAATATGTAAAAGCCTATTTTGAACTTACTCTCAGTTTCCTGGCAGCCATGAACGCTAGTTATTTTTCGTTCTGATGTGAATGTGAGGGCAGAGTACTCAACCTCCTTTCTAAAAGCTAGAATGTGGGTCAATTAAGTGGTCAATTATTCAATGGTGTCTGCTTATGCATGTTTTCTGTGCGATGATTGAAACTCAATTTCGGATTTGGGGTTTACTTTATACATTTCTTTATTTCAAGATTTAAAAAAAGCAAGCCATAATCTAGTTTTGGATGCCTATGTTTGCATTAATATGTGTCTTTGTGCACTTGTCACTTGGAGTGAAGCTGTATTTGTATGTGTGTGTATTGGTTCTCCTAGGTTTCCTAAACCCAATGAGAGCTGTGACAGCCTATTTACAGTAGCGTCCCACATGGCTGGGCTGCTGCTCTATGGAAACATGCCCACACCTCATGTGGGTGTAAACAAGTCGGGGGTTTTTCACCATCTGACAACGCTGAATCACATCTCATCAAGAAGGACGTTACATTATCTCCAGAGTAAAAATAATCAGTCTTCACCAAATAATATGATACATTTACATCTATAAATACAGAGGCGTGCTGTTAGGGGGAGACTCACATATTACATCTCCCGTTCCTCTCAATCTATGATACAACTGAATAAATGTGGAAGCAAGAAGTGTTTAATGAGGGTGCGTGAGGCTGTCGTTAGTGCACAGAGATGTGTTGGTTTATTGATGGCTCGGAGCTCCTCTGCTGGGCTAATTTCTTGTGCTCTCCTCAGGGAAGATGTGTGTGTTCACTCACCTCCAGCCTGGGTGACAGCCGGGTATGAATTACGGTCCTCATTCCCCCCCTGCTGACACTGCAACTAGCGGGCAGCAGTTACGCATTTTAATATGGAGACAAGTCAGGGAGAAAAAGAGGAGGGAGGTATAGCAAGTGAAAGAGGAAAAGAATGTGTGTGCATGGGGCTGCCGTGAGTGATTTTGTGTTGGAAGAAAAAGAGCCAGAAAGATAAAAGGACAGTGTGCGGCAGCAAGCAAGATAGAGAGGAAGAAGGAGAAAGATGAGAGGAAAGATGAGTCCTAGAGAGAAAATCAATAATTAAAGGTCACCTGGAGAGAAAGAGAGAGAGAGAGAGAGAGAGAGAGAGAGAGAGAGAGAGAGAGAGAGAGAGAGAGAGGGTCTTAACTATACCCTAATCCACCATTAACATGCAGCAGCCACAGTCTCCTGCTTCCTCATAGCGTGAGGTCACAGGGGATGCCGGCGATGGTGCATCATGGGATTTATCGGTGCAACACTCCTATCCTGCTATATGAGTGCACACATATTGTATATATTCTGAATTAGATTTGAGTCCACAACTGCCATGATGTACTGTAATCGCTGAATAATACATCCTGTGGTGAGCTCTGTTGACACATGTATTATATTAAAAGCACATTCTGGTAGTAAGTGAGCTAGTAAATACTAATGGTTACTTAGACATATTTTATCTATAAGGTAACACACAAAAAAACAGCATGATTCAACAAGTTTCATCTATCTACACATGTTGAATTTGACCACATATCCAGTGTATCTACTTTTCACTGATATGAATTTCTCACTTTCAGAACGCATAAATGTACCTATTCTGTGGTGGAATATAATCAAGTACATTTACTCAAGTATTGCACTTAATAGATACTAATAAGGAAGTACTAAGGGATACTTCTTCTTTTGGAGTATATTTTGATGCCAATACTTTTGCGCCCGGCAGCCCCCTACTTTATCCAACATTGTACCCATTGAGGTTTATTCAAATCATAGTAACAAAGTAAGATAAGATAAGATTGCAGCAGCAGCATGTAAAACTAGTATGGCACATAATTAGAAATAAAAAAGAGTTGAAAATAAACAATTATACAAACAAACATCACAAAATAGCAGATAAAAAAGAACTAAAAGAGTGTATATAAAAGTTGACTGTGAAGAAATATGTAAACTATCTGACAAATAAAACACTATTGATGGGCTAGGTAACAGCTAACACAATATAAATGTGGGATATTATTTACATTTAGTGTGGAAAAATAGCATATTAAATTTGATATAAATGTAAAATGCACAGTGAGAAGTATATGTTTTAGCAAACAATTATATAGAGTGTAATATAGTGTATAGGCTAGATACTATTCTAGGTTGGTGGATTAATACACATTTGGTGCACTTAAGTGTGTTCTTCTTAGGAGTTGTTGACAATGAGTAATAAATATAAAACAACAGCACATTTATTCTCTAATGTGGTGCTAAACCTTTAACCAAGTGATGTGGATTGTAACAGCTAAAATGTGCAAACTGTGTTGAAAGCAAAAGATGATTTCTTTGTAGTACTGCTCAGCAATATTAATAATATTAATGATTTATATTATTAAGAGGGTTAAAAGAGGAAATCCTATCTATTCCTCATTTGAATGTGTGCCTTACTGTTACTCTGTGTGTGGTTTGTTCTGCAGAGTGTGAATTCTTTGATTATAAATTAAAATGTAATCAATCAATCAATTCCTCCATGATGCTTTTAGTCACCCAGTGCAATCAGTAAGTGCATCAATGGCACTTTTTTTAACTTGGACAATAGTCAAACTTTAGTAGGGAAAAGGGCAAGCTCCACAAAATCTATAATGAATGAACATGATTACCCTAATGGGTGCATTAGGAGCAGCTTCCCACCTTCCCGAGCATCACACAGCGCTGATGGGTTGAGTCGGAAGCTGAGCCAGAGACTTTCTTAGCATCATGTGTCAGGTTTTATCAAAAGTAATTTCCAGTTGCTGTAGCTTTTGTCTTCAGGGGGGTCATGAACTGAGTTTGACTAGGGGGGTTTTAATCGCCCCCTGTCTGTGGTGCTGACCCGTTTTGATGATAATCACTGATCTTGGTTAACGGCAGGCTAACAACATAATTATGAGCAGTGAGGGAGCAGGATACTGTAATGGGACGTGAGCCTCTGCAGAGACCCCGATGTGTGATTTCCTCCTTTAGCGTCTCAACACCAGGTTTCAATGAAATTAAAGAGGTCAGTTTTCACTAACATCCGGCGTGATATCACAACGTTTTAAGGAGAAAGAGAAAAATTGGCATCATTATACCCCACCAAACTCATAAATAGGGGATGCTTTTTGCATTTTAAGTCTTACATTTGGGGAAAGCGGTATTTAATGCTTACATTAATACATAAAAGAAGATTTGTGCAGTTTGATATAATAGTTCACATGCTGGGCTTCCTATTTTAACTGGTTACTTTATTAGATTTTGCTACGATATCATTTGTTATCATATAATTTACCTTTTTTTCCCCGCCTGGGCTAGTTTCAGGTCAGCATGCTCTCAACTGTTCTGCACTCGGTCAGGGGCGATGGAGTACACACTGGCTCTGGGCCATTTTTAACCGCCTCCACTTTAATATCACCCACCCGCCATATGAGCCTCCTTCAAGGGTAATGAGGGAGTAGACTGCTCACTTCCGCTGTCTGGACAGCAGGTTTTCCCATATACAAACATGGGGACAGATTTTAATCACAGACATGTCTCAACTTGGGGGTTGTTAAATTGGGTGGGCTACTCGTGTTGGGTCTGCTTCTGTGTTCATATCTTTATCCGGTGTGTGGGTGTACACATGCAAGCTTTTTTGGTTCATGTTTGTTCAACATTAATGGGAAATGGATTAGGAGATAGATCTGACGTCCACAGCAGCGCTCTACTAGATGAACTAAAATACCCCTTCATCGAAACAACCCATCATGTCCCTTATGTTCATTGCAATTTGACACTATTAAACTGCATGATAGTTTAACGCTATTAATTAATTAAGTAATTTTATAAAGGTCATTTCAGTAAAAATTGCACTTCTACTATTGCTTTGAGTTACAGGCATTTCAATTTTAAATGTTCCATCATCCACTACTTTTGCAATATATCTTGTAATTTTTAATAATTGTAGCAATTATCTACTGATTTGAGCTTTTCCAACTATTTTAAATAGATTTGTCTACTATGTTAAGTTAAGGATCAGTTTTATTTTATTTTACTAACCATTTATCCAATACTTTAATCCAACTCTCGCGCTTGTATCAATTACTTTTATTTTAACCATTTAGGGTACTTTAAACTAACTATGAATTGTTGTTCAATTACTTCTAGACGCATTTTCCAATTTACATATTCATTAAAGCTGTTGACTATGCTGGCCTGCTATTGATATTTTTGACACAATATCTCAACATTTGAATGTGTTTGGGTTTTACAGCTCAATGTTGATATTTATTTATTAAATCATACTTTCTATTCCATCAAATTTGTTGCGCTCTTCTATCTTAGTACCTCTATGACATCTGTAGTATCCCCCTTTCTTACAAGTACCCGTGGTCTACAGTACTTCATATACTTTATATACTTTTCTTGCTGCTACTAAATTAACATCTGAACGCAACAAATTCCAACATGTCTATATTCATCAGCTGCTATTGTCGGGGCTTTAATTCTCTGTGTTCAAAATCAGGGTCTCTGGGGAGCCGAACGACCCTGCCTATCACAGATGAATGATTGGACTCGCTGTGACAGCCATGACAGTAACCCTTCCCCCCCCCCAAACTCTTCATGGCAATAGAGCCAAGGAGGGGAGAGTTTGACCCACAGCATGAACCCTGCCCATGGCATGTCAGAGGTGACCTTCTGTGGGGGTCGGGGGTCATTGTATTAAAATGAGAAAACCAAAATCATGGCACCCACACTTCTCTGAGCAACCTGATGCCCATCTGGAGGAATCCGCCACACAGGGGATGGCAAGTAAAGAAGTTTTCATCAACGAAACCTGATTTGATATTCTGTTTCGGATGCACCTGGTGAATGCTAATGCAATCAAACATGTTTGACATCTGCTATCAGTGATAAAACTAAAATATGGCTCTCATACATTTGAATGTGGCTGAAGGTGCTGGTTGAAAGCTTAATCTTCGGGGTCCTTGAGCCCTATGGAGAGGACTGAAGTATTCTTATCAAGCCTCCATCTGTCAGATTCCCACTCACTCCTACCATGTGTTTGAGTATGCTGGCCTTATATCAGTAACAATGGGGCCTGAGAGGCTGACACTGCTGGCTATTCACAATCAAGAGGGCTTTAGACTCAAGAGGCTCTGGCTATTTTCACATTTGTTATTACAAATCTTGTTGGAGATATTTATTCATCAATAAAGGGATTGATCAGGAAGTGCATAGGTATGTAATATGTATCCAGCTGTCACAGACTACATCAGAAAGCATTTCTCCCAACAGCTTCTTTGTTCATTAACCAAAATAGCACTATTCTGCACTGCATCCATGTTGAAATGAAAGAACAAACAGGGATAAAATAGATTTTTGTCTCATGAGGTGCGAAATCGTGCCTTTAGTGCTGACAGGAACTGCA